GGTTTGCCAGAGGTAATCCACACATGGGCCAGCACAGGACCACCAGTGTGTCTGCAACTGGCCTTGTGCTGGCCCATGTGTGGGCCACCTCTTGCAAACCAGATCTGGGCCACCAAAGGGCCGTCATTCTTTGCGGTATGTGGGCCATGTCTAAGCACATTGTGTGGGCCAGATCTGGGCCATACCAATTTTGCTATGTGGGGTGTTGTTTAGACTATTAGTGTTGTACAAGAACATAGAGAGTGATAGACTTAGTAAATATAACTAAGTGACAGGATGTATGTGTAGAGTATAATGAAGAATTATTAAACAGAGACAAAGAAAAAAATCTTTGATTGTGATGCAAAACAATAAAACTGAACTTTCTTACCTGGAGATGAAGCAGTCCACAGTATTGGGGCAGGGCCAGCGGCCACATTTATAGAGAGGCCTCAGCTGGAATCCATACAGGAAGTACTGCCCCAGAATGAAGCCCACTTCAAACAGAGTCTTGAATATTATGTTGAAGATGTAGGTCCTCAATAATGCCCCGCGTATCCTGATTTTTCCATGTTCGTCACGAATTGGGGGTTTCTCCTTTTTCCCTCCACCATCACCAACTCCATTGTGATAGAGAGGGTCATGGTCATCCTGGTGTCGTCCGGCCTTTCTGAGTTCCTCTTCCCTCTCCCTCCTCTTCTCCTCCATGCGAACAATGTGTAGTACATGGCCCAGGTAGATGAGGGTTGGTGTGGAGACAAAGATGATCTGCAGCACCCAGAAACGGATGTGGGAGATGGGAAATGCCTCGTCATAGCAAACGTTTTCACAACCGGGCTGCTGTGTGTTACAGGTAAAGTCTGATTGCTCGTCACCCCAAACTTCTTCAGCTGCTGCACCCAGCACCAAAATTCGAAAGATGAAGAGGACTGTGAGCCAAACCTGGGTCGGACAAACATGACAGTTAGAGGCACAGTAGTTAGTACTTCCTGGATAATGCAGAGGGTAACTAAAGCTTGTGGTTTCTCCACAGTGTCAGTATGGTCTACCCTTTACCAAACTGAAAACCAGAAAATGTCATCAACAATGTTGGCGTATCAAAAGTTCTATGAAAAGGAAATACAGTGAAAATCATCAAAAGGTAAGCTTAATATGTTTAACAGATCATGTTTTTGTTATCAATAGTCGGTCACCTTTCCAATCACAGTGGAGTGTTCTTGAGCATTCTCCAGCAGTCGCCCTAGAAAACTCCAGTCACCCATGCTTCTCTCAGTTTTCTAGCCTGCAGAGAGACATGAGAGTCTATGGTGAACAACAAAAAGTCAATTAAAGAACAATACCACAGAAAGTCAGTATTTAGGATTTTATCTGAACTTTTATGGCTGATACTGTTTTACCTTGTCTGATTGTAGGTGTCTGTGTGTGTCTGTGTCTCTCATCACAGCAAATCATGTCAGTATGTGTCAAAATCTCTGAGGAATGTATACAGCATCTTGTTGAATTCACAAAGAATTAAGCCAGTTCTGAAAATCAGTACTAGCAAGTGTCCTAATCAAGTGTTCGGTGAGTGTATTTTCCAGGACGTTTATGAGGAATCATTCGATCTCTGTCAGTCTGTTTCCCTTTTTTCTTATGCCAAACATTCGCTTCCTCTTCCTGTAATCAGTTTGACACTTCTTTTCCATGAAACATAAAAAACTAGCATTGTTCCATTTTTAGTCTGTGTCAAACACAGACTAGAGAGTCCTAATGAGATCTAACGGCCAGTTCATCTATAAACTCTTTAGCCTAGAAATTTTTGAAAGTATTCATCTAAGCCACAGTTATTCATATATTTAGTTCAATACAATTAAATTTTATTTATATCTCAACAGTAATTGTCTCAAGGGGCTTTATATTATAAGGTAGAGACCTTACAATATAAAGGCTATCATCATCAAAAACAAAATTCTTTGATATTCTGAAATATTGCTTCATATAAACGAGTGCTGTTAATACTTACCAACAAAATAACTGCATGAACATCTCAAGCAGTATCTTGCCTTACAATACCTAGAAATATCTTCTTTTACCATTTAAACCTTGGTGTTTCACTGTGAAATTTTACAAAAACTTGGCTGCTGCCCAAAAAGCTCTTTTCAACTGAGCACAGAAAGCATAACTACTTTCGAACTTCAATGCTAAAATCAAGAAGAGAAAAGACTTCAAAATAAAATTTCAAATAAGTTGGATTGTTTTGAAAAAAAAAAAAAAAAAAGACAAATTAAGCTGACTTACTAAAATATTGTTGTGTTGTCAGTGATAAATCCATCGACCAGAAATCAGAACAAAAACTATATCTGGAAGGAAGACACAAAATGCTTTGTATTAGCTTTTTGGGCTCATCATCATACAGACATCACACAAAAAAGGATACAGAGCTTTTTGATGCTGATGCCAATATGAATCTTTTTTTTAACCAGAAACATTTTAGTGCACAGTAGGTACAAATGATGCCATATACTTATAGTATGGCATCGGAAAGGGTCTTGTTACTCCTCACCTGATGCTAGGATTAGTACCAGTGCTAAGAACTGTCCAAATTTTTTAAACAGTTCAGATATTTAAAATTATCAATCACACAGGTCTATAGAGTGATAACTTCAAAATTAATTCTGCAGCATGATGAAAACCCCAGAAACATAGCATAAGACATAAAGAACTAGCTAAATTGAGTCCGGCAGCGAATGGTATGACCTTTCAGAGCATTCTCATTCCCAACATGTAGCATAACTACGATTTGTCACGTCCCATGGCATCTCAAAGGTAACCTTCCGCATCCCTATGATACGCTCCGGATTGTGGATGGAATCCAAAAGAATGATGCTCGCGGAGGTAACACACATTCCAGCTGTGTATTCCAGCCCTAACCGTAACCTTAACCCTAACCTTAACCATATCAGATAGTGTTTTCCAAAGCGATGCATGATCAGATGTGTAGATTCATTCCAAACGGTTCTCGTGCCTCCGAAAGCTTAACATACCGACAACTTATCTCATAGTGTCGGTATGTTACGTTTTGGGATGAGAATGTGTTGGATCTTCACAGAGTCCAGGTTTTAGCTTCATAGATTTCATGTGGAATTACATGAAAAAGGAGAAAGAGGTTCCACAGAGGACCCGGAACAGTCAAGTACTCTGAACAAAGTGTACTACTAAGAATTGGTAGCTGCAGTTTAAAAGCGCTCATTTATCACTACTTTGATTTAATTTCACTCTTTTTTCTTCATCTGACATTTTGGTGCAATCCAATGCTCACAGTAGCACTGCATGTGTCTGATTGTTTGATAGTTATTCCATGGTATACATTTGCTTTTGGATGTGCCAAATTTGTGTGTACTTGCATTGGTATGTGTGTGTGATGCGAGACTGGCTGGTTAGTGGACAATGGCTGGCCATCTGTGAGAAGTGAAGTGAGTGAATAACAGGTTGTCGCTGTTGAATGCCGGACTCATCACATCCCAGGAATGCTGATGGGGGCAAATGTTTGCCTGGGATTCCCTGATATGAACGCACACAAACATATACACGCATTCTAAAGTTTCAGCAGTGTTCTGTACTCCTGCATACTGTGTAACTTACTTCCAAAATAAAATGTAAATCCAGGAATTTGTGTCTGATGAGAGGTAGGTCAACTGAGTAAAAGAAAAAGAGAAAGAGAGAGAACGGAAGCTCCATAGACAGAAAGGAAATATCGTGGTCTTGATTTAACTGTGTTCTTAAAAAACTGCTTAGAAACACAAATAAATGAATAACAAAGACTTTTCAGATGTCTTACACGTGAAACATATTCTCAAATGACAAATGGCTACTAATTCACCAGTCTAACGGTGGTATGTGTACATGTACATGATGTGTTGACGTGATGAAATACCATCGGCCATGGCAGACAATAGGGAAGCTGCCAGATGGATATTGTTCTGGCTGCTGTGTGCTTTTGATGGATCAGAGGTCTTTGTGCTAAAACAGCCCAAACAGTTAACTCCTGGCCTGCCATTTGCACAACGAAATCCAAAAATATGCACAGTCACAATAAAAGACAATTCTGTTCATTACTCAGTTAATCAACTACCTTAGTGTATATCCAGAAACTTGAGAAGACCGTGCTCAGTGTTTAAGCAATTAGTTTCACATGGTGTGGAATAGTACTGAAGATGATTAAATGCAGTTTGCTTTTAAGAGAAGATATTTTTGATACATATATTAAAAATGTAAATGTATGTCTAAAAGTGTCATTCCAAAAATGTGGAAAGAGTTTGTAACTGTACACACAAGTGAATAAATGGGCCCAAAGTTGCCTAAGATACTAAAAGTACAAAACAAATTTTTTTTTTAAAGTGTGCAAAGATTTATAGAATGGCACACAGCATCTAAAGAGAGTATGGAAATAATCAATTCAGCAGCTGGTTGGCTGGTTAGGAGCAGCAACTTATTTCCTCCATTTACTACAGCAAGTCACACAGTACAATTCCAACAAGCAGAAAAACTACAGGAAGGTTCTTCCTTTCGTGGTAACATTAGACAGTGTGTCTCCTATACAAAAGATAAACAACTAGCAATGGTTGCATTTAAATAGCCATCAAAACTAAAATGTAAGCTAAAAACAAAAAAACAGTCCTACCGCCTGTTTTCCATTAGTTTCTTGTCCATGACTCTTTAAAAAAAACTTATTTTTTAACTAAAGTATCAAAATCTAGCTTAAGACCCCACAAAATGCATTCTTTTTTCCCAAAGATTATTTAAGCCTGGACGATATTGGTTTGGATTTGTGGCTTCCTGTCTGCCGTCTTTCCCACATGGATGTGAACGCATCATGAGAGGTGCTGATAATCCAGCAGGTGGAAAGATGATAATCCCTCTTCCCTCCCACTTCAGCCTCCAGCATCACTCTACGGTGACCCTGCTTACCGCGTTTCTTCTCTTCTTTTTTCTTTTAGTCCCACGGAGGTTCTCGGGGCAACCAAGAGAAGATTGGGCAGATTGATAGAAGGGAGAAGGGAGGGAGAGAGACACAGAGAGAGCAATACACAGAGTAACAGAGAGAGAAAGTTAACAACAAAAAAGGAGGGAAAAAGAAAAGAAGAATACGCGAGGCTAGTCTAGTCTAAAAAAAAGGGCGCGTGTGGAACCTGTCCCGCGAAGGCGAAGCACAGCGGCTGCGTCCCGCGTGGCCAAGGCCATCCGCCACTGTCAAACATTGGTGTCCCCGTGCAAGGGGCGCAGGAGGGGGGTGGTAAGGGGAAGGCGCGCGTTTGAGTGCGCGCGCGTGTATATGTGGTGTAACGCAACTATCACATTCCTGACCAGACAAAAATTTTCTTTAACAACTTCTGTTAAGGGAAAAATAAATATTTGGATTGTTCCTTGTTGCAGTATGAGGTAAAACACCCTCTGGGTATTAGCTAATAACTTACTAGCTTTTTTACTGTCATTACAAATAAACATGAATATGGAAGATTACTGATGTCAAAAATGGAGAAATCAGAAAAAAACAGACAAAAATTGAAGTGTAAAAGTAAGCTCATCTTTCTACAAGTTCTTCATATTGCAACAGTTTTTAGCCCCCAAAAGGAATTTACATGTTAAAGTGTTACATTACATACATGACATTTAGTTACAAGTAAATTACATTCAGTTACTGTTACGGCCTGGGTCTCTGACCCAGCGTTTTGTGTTTAGTTCTTTGTTGCCTTCAAGTTTCCTAAGTTTATCATTATCATGCCTAGGTGTTTCTAGTTATTTTCCCCTCGTGTTTTCCACTATGTTAAGTCTCCCCTGCTTTCATGTACTTTATGTCTGTGGCGTTTGTTGTCAGTT